AGGTAGAGAGAGGTTAGACTCTAGTGTGGGAGAATAGCGAGGTTCTAATCAAACACAGTTCATTTCTATTTTCTTGGTATCGTTACAATAAAAACGAACCGCCGTCGTCCTCCAGCGACTAACAGGTTAAAGGTGAATCATGTTCCAGAAACATGGAGCCGACTGTCAGCGCCGGCCGTAGGCTGGTGGTGGAACAGGAAGTGACCACATGCAAAGGCGTAATATTAGATTTCCAGGAAAAGAGGCCTCCTGGCACCAACATCTGGTTAGACTTAGGGTTCTGTGTTCACATTCCAGCGGACGCTGGTGTCGAAGCCGTGAGACGTCCACGCGGTGACATCATCAAAGTGCTAACAGTACCAGGTACTGTTGGTTGAAGGTGTTGAACTACAGCGGTGCTCCTACTGTATCGTGTTGGAGGTTCTGGACGTGAAACGGTGAAATGTTTTTACAGCTGTCGGAGAAGTCTGTAAACGCCATAAAAACTGTCTTCGTGGGGTCAAAGGTCACAGACGGAAAAGCTGTTTCCTGTTTCATGGCTAATGTCCAGGAGCAGCAGCAGCGGAGACTGGACCACAGATGATCTGGAACCGTCACGTGACACGGCCGCTGATTCGTTTCTACTGCTCCTAAAAGATTACAACCAACGCCCCCCCACTGACCCCCCCACTGACCCCCCCATCACATCTGTCACTGACACCTGGTCAGCTCTAACTGACGATTGGAAATAATTCCATGAAGTCATTTGGTTAATTATAATCTGTCACCTTCACTGACGACGACCACGAACCAGAGACTACAGTCGATGGTACACTGACAGCTGTGACCATGTGACTGACTGGAACAACAGACCAGGGTTCACCTACAGCCCGTCTGTGGAGCAGCTGGGTTTGATGTGATTAAGATACTGAAGCGTTCTTTAAATTAAGAACTTAAGAAGAATTAAGAGAGAAAAGGCCAGAAGTCAGGCCTGTTAACTATTACTATTATTACTATTATTTATTCTTTTAAGCAGCAGGGGGCGCACTAGGAGACCACTAGATGACAGCTCTGTCTGCAGGTGTAACCACTTCAACATGTTCAGACGGTCCCTGGGGCGTCGTGCGTCTGTAATCTCAGACACCCAAATTAATATTTATATGTTTTGGGATTACCGACGCATGAAGGTCAAATATAAAGAATATATTTTCAGTTTCCTATCGGCGCTGATTCCTGACGACGACAGTTTTCAAGGAAGAAAGAATCTCCAACTGTAGTAAAATCACTGTCATATTTATGGTTAATAATTAATAATTAAACCATAATTATGGTTTCTTTTGGGCAAATTTTGTCAAATTATATTTGAAAAACAAACAAACACGAATAGCAGTAGACAAAAAAGAAAAAACACTGCCCTCTAGAGAGTCTGACTGAAGGCCTTGGTTGATTATTTCCCACAAAGCCGCAGGACAAAACCCCGTGTTCCAGACTCTAATCTCCACCGAGCTCCGGTTCTATGTGGAACAGACAGATGGGATTGTTCCGTCAAGATCAACAGACTGTAACGTTTGAAAAAGTACAATCTCCAAACAGTACGACTTAAAGTTAATCCCAGGCAAATGCTGCTCTTTCTCACACAACCGCAGCCTGGGCTGGACGCAGTCTGTGGGCCAGATGTCTCTGTCGCTCTGACGTCCAGTCCATTTCTACGACTGACTCTGGTTTTTATAACGACATGTCATCCTAAAAAAACATTTTCCTGAAACACTGGTGACAGGAAAACAAAAACATCCTCTGCACCAGTTGTTCAGCTAACTGGTTTTTAGCATGTAGCTTAGCCGAGAGCAGCTAACGCTGTCACCCGTCCTCTCTGCTAACTTTCCTTTGACTCAGTCTTTTTAACAAAGACATAAAGTCGAACAAATGGATAAACGACGACTGTTAAACTGAGAACAACAACAACACAAAGATATATTTCCCAACACAACACTGACTTGATGTGAATCCAGTGTTAGCCTCAGCTCTGACTTATGTCTTATATATATTTTAACTGTCAATATTGATCAGATGATCAGAGAATGACCAGGGATTGGTCAGAACTTCAAAGTCTCACGATTTCACTCTCACATCATCAACAACACATTTTCTAAACAGTTGGACATGTTGACGTGTTGAGACTGTAAGAGCGGAGCCTTCTGCATAAACTCAGGTTCGATTCTGACCTCGCACCCCCCCCCACCCCCATCCCATCTGCCGTCTCTCTGCACTACATCACTTTCAAAGCTAAATCTGTCTGGAGAGATTCTTTAAGATGAAGATGAAAGAGTCACAACAGAGTGAATGTCAGGTTATGGAAACAGTTTCAGACGTTTGTCTGAGACGTCAGGGTGAAGTGATCACACACACACACACACACACACACAGCTGTGAGTCAGGAACCGATTCTAGACAAACAGGAGTTTTCTGACAGTCAAACAACAAAAGGATCTGCACAAACACAGTGTTTAATCTAATCCGTCAGATTACACACACAACCACTTCATTCTGTCGCCAACAGAAATATAACATGAAAACTGAGACGTCAGTTCACACTCAGTTCACACTGAATTCACACTCACTGTGAGTGAGTCGACTCCACTCTGTGACCTCTGAGACTTTAAAACCTCCAAAGTTGGACTCTGGTCAAGACTCTAACTGAGGTGACGGAGGAGGTGACGGAGGAGGTGACGGAGGAGGTGACGGAGGAGGTGACGGAGGAGGTGACGGAGGAGGTGACGGAGGAGGTGACGGAGGAGGTGACGGAGGAGGTGACGGAGGAGGTGACGGAGGAGGTGACGCTCATGGTCTGCAGCTGTGATTTAATCAGACTTTTCAGTGACACATTCAAAGTTCTGTGTTGGAGTTCCCCTGGAACTCCGTCCCTGACAGAACAGTTCTGGTTCCCACACACACACACACACACACACACACACACACGTCTCAGCCTGTGGCAGGTGTTTTTGTCACTCACCCCCGACGTCGGCGTCTCCTTCTCCCTCCTGACGACCGGCCCTGTTGTTCAGCATCAGTGATGAGGACGTGGTGGCTGCTCCGGGTTCTGCCTGGACCGTATCGTCCTGACGACCAACTCTGCTCTGTCACTCACATGTAGCTTCTGTCTCTGTGACCCCCCCCCCCC